GCAAAATAGACGATACGGGGGGGGAGGGGGGAACGGGGAGAGAATGCGAAACAAGGTTTTCGTCTTCTCGTCGGCACACGTTCCTTTCGCGAGCGTGGATCAAACGTGCGAGGCTCGAGGAGAGGGAGAGAAACGCGGACACGAGAAATTATTCCGCAAGGGATCGTAAAGAGGCTCTTGGAACGTGGTTCTCGAACGCGATTCCCGTCCTTCCAATGGATTTCCTTTCGAATTGAATCCTCCCTTGGATTAGAGAGCATTTATGAATTAAGAGATTTTCCTTTGCTCTTTCCCTTGTTTTTCTCGGAAGAAAGGATGGATTTCGTTCGATTTGAATGTACATTTAGAAATTTTTTCGTTTTTTTTTCTCTCGTTTTTTCTTTTTTCTTTTTTTTTTTTCTTTTTTTCTTTTTTTTCTTTTTTAAACGATGATAATATTTAATTATTTTGATTTCAATATTTTTAGATTGATTGATACGTTTTTTTTTTTTTTTGAAAATTTGTTGATTTTAATTCTTGAACTTTTGATTTCAAGTTTCAGTTAATTCTAAGATTAAAATTTATCAAGCTTGCGTTAAGAAAGATAAGGAAGATCGATCAAATTGGTGAAATAGATGGTTGATTGATTTTTGCGTATACAATTCGATAATATAGTTTTATTTGCAATTCGTTTAATTTTTATATATCGATTTATAAGATAATTTATTCGATGTTCAGAAAAATTTCAATTTGCTTCGATAAAAATACATGTATTGCAATTCATTCGTATTTTTATAAATTTACGATGAGTGATTTAATCAATTTAACATATCGAAAAATAATATTGCGTTACGAATTATATATATATATATATATTTTTTAAAAATCAAAGTTCTTCTATTTCAAAAAATTGTTTTCAATTTCATTTTGTTTTTTCTGCAATGATTTTAAAAAGATATTGTTATCTATCAAATCTATTAAACATTCAATTATAGATATACAAAATTAACGGTTAAAACGTTAGATCATCAAAATCTCTGTTAAATCTTTAACGAGAGTCGAAAATTCTTATGAATAATTAATATTAACACGTCATATCTAGTCAATGAACACGGTATTTCAATCAGCCATTTATTTCCAACCAATTTAATATTTTCATTAATACACATGAATTGTCTGTATCTCCATTGATACGATCTCGAAGATTTTTTTTTTTTCGTTCGAAATAACATTTAGCAATTCTTTTCAAGACACTAAGAAAATATGCTCACAAGGATCAAACGAAGAGTATAAAAATTCTAGTATTACGAATAAGGAAGTTATCGATTTTTTAGAAAAAACATTTACCGTGACATCTAAAAATTTCGAATTTTCAGAGAAGATACTTCGATGCTTAGGCAAAGGTTTTAAGAAACGTCTCAAGATCGAATTTTCGAAATTTTTAACGAATTTTGATAGTTGAACTTCGATAGCCAACGAAAGCTGTGAACGACAAATATTTAGCAAAAATATATATGCATGTATGTATTGAACAAGAGACACTGCATAAAATTTACAATTTTCGTATCCGATATTCAAACGATCCTCATCCCAATCTATATTCCGATATCCAACTGTCGATTATAATTTTTTTTTCTTCATCTTTTTTTCAAACAAATGTTAAAATTTCCTTTCTTAAATTGCATTTTTTTTTCTCTCTCGAAGGGAAAAAATAACGATCTCATCTCTCTTCATCCCCCTCTCGTGCTGCTCGCAAGAGAAACGTTCGCCAGCAACGAAACGAAAGCCCCTGGATATGTGTACGGGTACACGAGAGACATGTGTACACGTATACATACATATGGGAATATATATCATATACATATTATATTTATATTTATATATATATATGTATAGGTGAATGTATAAAGAAGTAAACTCGTCAGACTTATGATTTTATGCAGGTCAGAGGTTCATCGTCAACAAAGGAATTAGCGTCCTCTTGCCCATCGCAAAATGGCATCTGCCAATACGTCAAGGTGAGCTTTCGTCTGGAACAGAGATAGAAAATAGCATTTGTTCGTGATAGCTTTGGCCATATTCATTTGAAATTTGAAATTGTATGTACATGAGATGACAAATTCACGAATGTACGTGGATACACGTTACATTTCATTGCGGTTATGGTACAGATCAACATGACAAACGAGATGACGAATATATATTTGATATCGTGAAATATATATACTTTGTGATATTATATTTTTTTGAATTTTCAAATTAAAAAAAAAAATGTAATCTGTAAAAATGTAGACGTGTATTTGTGATCAATTATAATAATGTTTAATAATTGTTTAAATGATTAGCTATTTCTTGATTAAATTTCTTGAAGTATCTTTTATTATGTTCTTCAAAGGAAACAAAATTTTAATGAAGAAATAGATTAGCAATGTAATGAAAGAAATAATGCAGTGATAAACATACATGCAGAATATGTAATTTCAACTTAAAGTTGGAGTTTGAATCTTCTCATACTACCAATTTGTGTATTCTTAAAAATATTATAATATAAGAGCGAAAAGAAAAATAAAAAAAAAGGAAAAGAAAACTAAATTCTTTCTATATTTCTCATTATCAAGTTACATTTAAACTGCACGCATAAATGCATAAATATGAACAATTATCTCATTCATAAAATTTTTCCCACTTTTTAAAACATTACATTCAAAGTATTAAAACGTATAAAATGAATATTAAAAGAAGCGTGTAAAATAACTTGCTTAATTCTCCAAACGTTAAACTCATAATTCTCTTTCATCATTAAACACAGAAGTAAAAGCTCGAACCGTAAAATAAATACAGAAAAAAAAAAAAAATTCTCTACAACGTCCAATTTAAATTTTTAATCCTAAAAAGTAATTTCACAAAAAGAAAAAAAAAATTCGTATCGTGAAATATTACAGAAAAAAAAAAAAACATTTTCAATCCAAGAATAACAATACAATTTATCCACGTTCACCATTATCAAACACTGTACTACTACATTCAAAGTACAACGTATTGCATTCTCCCCTATTTCCTTGGAAACCGTGAAAAATTACATGGAAAAACTTTCTTCTTCCATGCATAAAACACACGTAAAAAGTATCTCGAGGAATATCTAATCCACGGATCGCAAAGCCACGGAAGACGAACAACGCACATCGAAAAAACTCTTCAACTCCCGCCAAAAAAAAGTCATCCAATAACTCCGCTCCTCGAGTTCCGATATTCCGATCAGCCCCACTCCGCTTGATCCCAGAAAGGGGAGGGAAAAAAACTTCGTTAAGTCGGTTAAGACTGGAAAGTCTCCCCTCTGAAAAATCGCCGAGCCAAACAGCCTCGAGAAAGGCGATCGAGTTCTCGAGAGCGTATATGCCTCCGGCAAAAATTTAATTCGACTAGAAGTTCAACGTTGTTCGGAGTTTAATCAGATCTGCGGACCTCCCACGTTGATCAGGCCAATTCCGTTTCGACAACACGGCTCGTTCTTCCTCTCTTCGTCGTGTTCGAACGGAAACGAGGAATTAGGGAGAGAGGAGAGGAAAAAAACGAAAGAGAGAAAAAGAAAAAGAGAGAAAAAGAGAAAGAGAGAGAGAATGATGGTGGCGGCGGCGGCGCGACTCGACCAGGCGGAAGGAAAAG